ATATATATATATATATATAAAGGGGACCGTATCCTAAAGAAAAGCGCAGTGTCGACTAGAAAAGAACATCGTGATATCCAAATTTGAGCATATGGACAATCTAACAGAGGTGGTAAAACCACAAGGATAGAATAAAATTGTCATGCCTAGTTCTCTTCGAAGTATCCTAAATTTTGATAATACTAAACTGATCAAATAGTAAAATCAATGCAATAATTTATAGTGATACGAGAACAAACACAATCAAAATAACAAGGAAAATTCAGAAAAAATATATTCTTGTAAAAGGAAAACTCAGGGGCCGGGATCCACAGTAGATGGACAATTAGCATTGATAAAACTCCTGACAATCAGATGTACAGCACGTGATGTTGTGCAGCTAGCATTCATAGCTGGAATTTGCCAGTTTAATAGTGTCACGCAGCACAGTTTATGCATCTTTGTGGCTCCCCACGGGCCTCAAACTTAGAAGGGCATGCAACATTATAAATTAGGATTCTGAGCAACAATACAAGTGAAAAACTCATCCAGTTTGGTCAATGGTGCATTCTTTACCAATTGATCACATTCTTCATCTTAGTTTAGTAACAGAAGTTGACAAGACAGGTGGAAGAGGAACTGGGAATGCATCATAGAACAAGAACGGTGCCAAGAACAACAGTTAGGTACTAAGAAATTGACAGAAGAACAACAAGACGTTTCATCCTTGAACACTAGCAACGCCAATATCTCAATCTTTTCTCTAATCAAGAATCTTAACAAGTTAGAAGGCAAGTAGAGTCAATATCATATCTGCTCTTTCGCCTGTAACATCAACTTTTCGATCTTCCTCTTCATTTCAACCATATTATTTTGCCCGAGTTCTTTCAGTAAAATCTCGTATGTCCTTTCCTTGGGAACAATTCCATTCAACACCGCATCTTGAAAGAAGAAGCAAGCATGTTCAAGTTTCCCGCTCCCAGCGAGTTCACGAATCAAAAGAGCATATGTACTAAGATCAATGCTAACATTGTTATTGAGCATGTGACTCAACAGAAACTTGAGCACCTTCATGTCCTTCATCTTGCAACACATCTTCAATAAAGGTTGATAAGTCTCAAGATCTGGCTTGCAAGAATTCTCCTCCATCCTCTCAAGCAGCTTTAAAGCACTGTTGCCTTGCCGATTTGCACAAGCATGATAAATCATGGCATTATACGTCCACAAATCCCGACTAACCCCATGGTTTTCCATATCCTCAAACACGTACCACGCATCGTTAAGCCTTCCAGACCGACCTAATACGTAGATGAGTGTACTAAAAAATTTAGCATCAGGCTTGCAACTTTTTTTATTCATCTTTTCATAAACCTCCAAAGCTTCATTTATTTTTCTTGCTTTCCCTAGAGCACGAATATAAATAGAATATGCAATCACATCAGGCTCGCAACCCTTGTCTCCCATCTCATTCAATATAACTTCAACATTTCGAAAATCCTTCTGCTGACAATATGCTTTAATAAAACAAGTGTACGAGGAAGCATCAGGACGAAATCCGTGTTTCTCCATTTCTTCCATTGTTTTTCTAGCATCATCTAACATTCTTGCTTCGCAATACCCATGTATCAAAATATTGAAACTATGAGAATCCAAGGTTATAGAATCCTTAAACTCTAAAAAGACACTATAAGCATCCTTAGCACCACCTTGCTTCGCCAGTGCATGCATTACCATATTCAATGCCACTGTATCTTTCTTCACACGATATTTCTCCAGCCCTCTAAGTACGTCAATAGCATCTTTGTACATACCAGAACTAGCCAGCCGCCTCACTACAATGCTCATCGTGGAAAGTGAAACATGCCCGTTTAACTCATTCATTTCATTGACTACTTTCCACATAATACCAAACTTCTTGCACTTCCCTAATATATCGACCACGAGATCATATAACCGAGGTGTATGCACATAGCCTGTTTGATTCTTTGCCCAAATGAAAACACCAAGAGCCGTGATCCATTGATTGCTAAACCTCTCCAAAAGCTGCGAAACCAAATCATTTGTTGCATTTATTCCACTCTCATCCAACGCCTTTACAACAGCATCCTCGGATGGGAAGTGTCTTTTAAGGATTCCTTTTACTTTATCAATGTCCCCGCCAGTGCCACTCTCAGCTGCTATGCTTTTGAAGTTTTCAAGGGTCGGATTATCGACCCAATTGGCAAGTGGAGAAATAAAAAAATTTCCATTTTCTGGATCAGAGAGTTTTGGGTCCCTAGTAAGTCCGCTGGGAGACTCAGGCGAGAAGGGTGAGTCGTGGGTGAGGGGAAACTGGGTAATGGTTGATAGGTGCTTGGCTAACAAGCGATTGATTTGATAAGGCACTGGAGCAAGGGATTTTTTAAAGAGCTTGAGTATTTTGAGTTTTGGCTGCATTTTTTTTCCCTCTGAAATCTGGATGCAGAATGTAAGAACATGCCGGACGCTCTTTGAAGAGAAGGAAGAATGGAGCATGACTTATTGGGCCAACCTGATGGGTTGTGTATATATTAGGCCCAATCTCGATCTTAAAATCCCCTTCTGCGACGCTATTTTCTTCACTCTAGCAAGAGCTTTTCCAATTTCGAATATGTAGAATTATTCTTTTAAATTATTTTAAAGGTTATGGTAATATAATAATTTAATTATGTGTCGTTTAATTCCTTATTAATTTTTAATTATATCTATACTAACATAGTGGTGAAATTATGCAATACAACTTTATAATTGTTTAAAAATTAAATATTCATCGAGAATATAAAATATATTTTATGTACATCTTCAACTACTGAATAATATACCTAAGATCACGAAGCTCTAGAAATTACAGGGCATACAATTTTATACTTGAATTTAGCTATGATAGGTAAAATTGAATATGAAATAAATCTTAGATAATATACTTGTATGATTTGAGAATCTACTATTAATCAATTAGTTATAAATCCATAAAAAACAAAAATAAATGCTAGAGAAAAAGATAGAGAGAGAGAAAAATATATAGAGAAAATGAGTATCAAAATAGTTTTTTTAAATTATTTTAAATATTAATATATTAAAAAAGAAAAAAATAACAATTTAATCACAACACCAAACAAGCCGTTAAAAATGAATTTTTAAATTATTGTTGTTCCAACTATATCATTTGCCAAACCATGATGTTTTGAAAAAAAAAAAAAATTAAAAAAAAAATCATGACAAGTTAGTGCTTTATATAAAGGAGGAAGAAAAAAAAAAACAATGGGCATGCTAATTGCCTAGACGATCAGGCTGTAGACTAGGCCCGATTGATTTAGCTTCCAGTCTCAACAATCAAGTTGGGCCAGATGCTCTTCACATCCCATCAGAATGGCAATAAAGGAACTAGAAATATTTGTCATGAATTATAAAAAGTAATTTTTAATTTTGAGTCATGAATTAAAAATTGTTTTTTATAAATAATTTCTGGTAAAACTAAATTAGAATGACTTTAAATCGATAGTACATTTTTTAAATAAAAATATAAGATTTTAAAATAAATAAATAAATAAATGCAGTATAAGTTAGAATTCATAAACAGTTAAAGCTTTTATTTTAAAATTAAATCAAAATTTTACTCAAATTTAAAATAAACTTTTGATTTAAGTCAAGATTTATTCTTAACTAAACATACTTAACATAACCTTAGATAAAATTCAAGGCTTTCTCATCAAACAATTGTGCTGTTCATTATGTGTCCAGTTAAAAACTGTGTCTAGGATCGCTTTCTTCACTCGGGTTCGAACAGTTATAGAATCGACTGAGAATAGAATAAAGCCATGAATTAAAAATTGTTTTTTATAAATAATTTCTGGTAAAACTAAATTAGAATGACTTTAAATCGATAGTACATTTTTTAAATTAACCTATAAGATTTTAAAATAAATAAATGCAGTATAAGTTAGAATTCATAAACAGTTAAAGCTTTTATTTTAAAATTAAATCAAAATTTTACTCAAATTTAAAATAAACTTTTGATTTAAGTCAAGATTTATTCTTAACTAAACATACTTAACATAACCTTAGATAAAATTCAAGGCTTTCTCATCAAACAATTGTGCTGTTCATTATGTGTCCAGTTAAAAACTGTGTCTAGGATCGCTTTCTTCACTCGGGTTCGAACAGTTATAGAATCGACTGAGAACAGGGTCAAGAACCATCTCGAAGTAGAAATCAGATTGATGAAAACGAAGCAACTAACCAACAAGCATGCTGCTGGGCTCAGATTAATGTAAGCATCCTGCAAGGCCTAAATCCTGTTTAGCTCCTTTGCCCGTATCATCAACTTCTCAATCTTTCCCTTCATGTCTGCCATATTCTTTCTCTCAAGTTCCTCCAACAAAATCTTGTATGTCTTATCACAAGGGACCATTCCCTTCAACACTGCTTCTTGAAAGAAGAAGCAAGCGTATTTGAGTTTCCCTTGCTTACGGAGGCCGTGCACCAATAGGTCGTATGTAACAATATCAATACTGACATCGTTCTCAAACATGTGATTCAGCAGAAATTTGAGCATTTTCATGCTCTTCTTCCTGCAACACATCTTTAACAGAGGCGCATAAGTCTGGACATCTGGTTTGCAAGAGTCTTCCTCCATTTTGTGGAGCAGCTTTAAAGCACTCTCATCCTGCGAAAGTGCACAAGCAGCAGAAATCATGGCTTTATACATCCCCAAATCCCGACCAACTCCTTTCTTTTCCACGTCCTCAAAAATATTCCAAGCATCCTTGAGCCTTCCAGACAGACATAAACTATGAATTAACGAACAGTAGAACTGAGTACCAAGCACGAAACCATGTCTCTTTATTTCCTCGCAGACTTCCAAAGCTTTATTTATTTGCCTCGCATTCCCAAGAACACGTATATAAACAGTATATGCAATCAAATCAGGAGGGCAACCCTTCTCTTGCATCTCATTTAAAATGATTTCAACATTTCGAAAATCCTTCTGCTCACCGTATGCTTCAATGAAAGCGGTGTACGAAACAACATTAGGATGAAAACCACGTTCCTCCATTTCTTCCATAGTCTTTCTTGCATCACCAAACATCCTTGCTTTGCAATATCCAGATGACAAAATATTGTAACTACGATAATCTAAATTTAAACAATACTCAAACTCTAAAGCCACAGCACGAGCATCCTCAACACGACCGTTCCTAGCCAAAATATCCATCAGCACATTCATTGCCTCTGTGCTTTTACTCAAACCGAATTTCTCTAATCCTCTAAATGCATCAATAGCTTCACTGTACTTGCCATCTCTAACGAGACGCTTCATTACTTTCCCCATGGTAACCAATGAAACATACCCATTTAGTCCACTCATTTCCTGAACTAAATCCCACATAAGACTAAATTTCCTGGACTTCCCTAATATATCAATCATGGAATTATATATCTCAGGTTTATGCACAAAACCTGTTTGATTTTTTGCCCAAATGAAAACCCCCGAAGCCACCAGCCATTGATTGCTAAATCTCTTCAAAAGCTGCGAGACCAATTCATGTGTTGCACTGATACCACTCTCATTTAACGCTTCGACAACAGCATCCTCAGATGAGTAGTGTTTCTTTAGGATTTCACCCGCTTTATGCACATCACTATCGCTTGCTTCCGATAATAGCGAGAGACTAGCAATATTTTTGTGGGACTCAGTGTTGGGATATTTGTCGCAGTTGGCATGTGAAGGATTAGCAAAATGTCCGCTGGTCGGTTTTCTGACTTTTGGCTTCTGGTCGTTATTGAGCCAAGTTGAGAGGATAGAAGGCCGGGGCTGAGGAGAGTCGGGTGAGTCACAAGCGAGAGTTAACTCGGACAGGGTGCATAGGAGTTTAGGTAGTAAGTAGTTGGCTAGGAGGGGTTTAGCAAAGAGGGCTTTTCGATGGAGCTTGAGCATTTGGAGTTTTGGCTGCATTTTTCTTTGAGAAGCAAAAGAAAGCATCAATACTTTCATTCAGTTCTCTGCACTACATACCAGGAACTGAACGGCGAAACGAAGCAGCCGGAAGGTGGGTGTTGGGCCGAGAGGTTGTTCGGTTCATATTGGGCCTGGAATAATAGCTCAAAAGACATATTTGTCCCGAAACTGTCACGTGGTTCTCAACTGGCTCCTAAAAAAATACTAATCTTCTCAATTAGATTTGGATACCCCGTCAATCAAGCATTCCCAATTAAACCATCATTACAATCTAGCATAACAATAACAGCGTCGTTTTAGAATGGAAAAATTACAGGGAGAGAGTTAAGTGGGTGCTGTCCAAACGATGGGATCCAATCGGGACTCGTGACCAAATTGAGGATTAAAATCTTGGTTGAATATGTTATTTCCCCCAAAAATCCTATTCTTTTAGCGTTTTGGATGTTTTAGAATGTGATTGTAATTATTTTAAAATAAATTATTTTTAATATTAGTATATTAAAATAAATTAAAAATATAATTTAAAACATAAAAAAATTAAAACTTTTAGAATGTAATCATAAATAACTTTTTAATTCTAGCAAAGACCACAAACTTGGCAGTTAAAATCTTCTTTCTTACTTAGGTAGTATTTTATATCTTGAAAGCTATTGTTTTTAAAAATATGTTTTTATTGAAAATATAGTAATTTTGTTTTATCTGTAACAAAGATAATATAAAAGCACCTGAAAACCTTATTAAAAAAAAAACCTCAAAAAATTTAAAAGCTCAGTCCAGTCTAAAAACAACCGGTGCTTTAGATTTCATTTGGAGCTGTAGTGTTAAACTGACTTTTCATTAAGTTTTAATTTTTTTAATATCTCTTTAAATTATTTAATACATTAATATCAAAAATAATTTTTTTTAAAATAAAAAAACAGTACTTAGAAAAATAAGAAATTTAACGCGCTCTTGCAAATTACATCTCCATCTTCATCCCTCCAGAAAGGGAAAAAGGGTAATGCACCTCAATTTGTTTGTGTTGTGTCAAATGGGGTTCAATTTTCGTGTGTTTGAGGACTCTTGTTTACATTGTGAGCTGGCTCTTTGCAGGGTTTCATTGTGTGCAAACATGAAGAGGACAATACCGTAGGCTGACGCAGTTGATGTTATATCATTGGATGAATCTTCTTTCTCAGATGCAGATATAGAGATTAATGTTGGAATTGATGGCCATCGGTTACCCAATGATGTTACAATTGATCAACAGCTAACTGGCAATGGAGATAAGCACAAGCCTTTGGATATCATGAATCATCCTTGTAAGGCCGGAGCCACCATCTGGCTTGTTGAGGAAGTTCACAGGCGCGCATCAACATATCATCGTGTGGCTAAACTCTGGCAATCTGACCCAATGCACCATGCTTTTGTAGACTCCATTTTCCGACAGTTATGAAGCACGTCTCGGGTTTGGGCTGATTCTGTGGGATGTTCCTTTATTTCTTGGGTAAGAGCTTAGAACTGTATAACCACCATCTACAATGGAACAGAAACTTCTCTTATGGTATTCATTAATTATTATTTTTCTCCTGTACAATTGTCTCTTGCATAAATAGCCATGTTTAGCATTTTTTTCTCAACCCTTGTTCATGATTCCAAATAATGTTCTTGCTGATTGAAGGTTGGAAATTGCTGGGACATGCTGTTCCCAAACTGGGAATTCTAGTTTGGTCTGCAAGAAACAAAGAACTTGGGTTTTTGTTGCTCACCGGCATCTCTAAAATGTAGCCACTGGGTATAACATTCACATTTCAATCACCAATAATCACCACAAGAACAGAAACCTTGCTGGAAAAAGTGGAAACGGTTGTTATCCCGAACAATGATTTCTCGGCTGTATGATTTTGATACTAGTTTGGCAAATGAGTGGCAATCAGAGCATATTCGGAGATTCTTTGCAACACGAATTGGCATTCCTTGATCTGTACTAATAAGTGCAAAAGCTATTGCCAATTTTTCACTGTGTCGACTGAGCAGGTACTCCTTTTCCTTCTCATTTACATCAAGCAGAACATTCGTGAGATCAGGAACATAGCCATTGTCTCTTAGCCTACAGCAAATCTCCTTCAACATAGGCTCAATGTGGGTCATTTCTGGGTGTGATTCATCACCAGTCGTGAACTCAAAAAATTTTCCATTGATCTCGATTGAGCTTGATCCAGGAATTTTATGGGCTCCTTTCTCCTTCAGGTGTAGCCTAACCTTTGCAACATCATCCCATCTTCCTGCAGAGGCATATATGTTTGACAGAAGCACATGAATCCCAGTCCTCTCAGGATCCAATTCGCTTATCCTTTCAGCTGCACAAGCTGCAATGTCTACATTTTTGTGCACCCGGCAAGCAGCTATAAGAGATCCCCAGATCACATCATTAGGCTCCATTTGCATACTATTTATGAGACCAAGAGCTTCGCTCAGTAACCCAGCTCGGCCAAGCAAATCAACCATGCACCCATAATGGACAACTTGGGGAGCTATGCCATAGATATCCTTCATGGACCTGAAAATATGCCAGCCCTGTTCTACCAATCCACCATGGCTCAATGCAGTCAGGAGTGCCACAAAAACCACTCCATCTGGTTTAATCCCTTGCTGCAGCATCTCATCAAAAAGCTCAATAGCCCCAGTTCCATTTCCCTCCATGGCCATTGCACCAATGGCAGCAGTCCAGGCTGAAACATCTCTTTTCACCATCTTGTTGAAAACTTGCATTGCACTCTGAGGGTCACCACATCTAGCAAACATATCAACCAAGGCTGTGCCAAGTCGCATATCAAAGTGAATATCTTTCTTCTTAATATAACTATGGATCCACTTTGCAAGGTCCAGTGCTCCTAGATACCCACAGGCCGATGCAACACCCACTATTGTCACCTTGTCTGGTGATATTCCCTCGCTCTGCATTACCCGAAAAAGTTCTATCGCTTCCTTGAACATGCTCTCTTGTACCAAAGCCCCGATCATTGTGTTCCAAGAGACAAGATCACTGTCTGGCATCGCCCTGAAAATTTTCCAAGCAGACTCCATGTCACCATTTCTAACAAAACCTGCAATCACTGAGTTCCATGATACCCGAGTCTTGTTCAACATACGATCAAAGACTCTACAAGCCATTTCTTGTTTGCCACACTTCATGTACATGTTAATGATGGCATTGCAAACATTGTCCCAACCTTCTAATCCATTCCTCAAAACATAACCATGGCACCATTTTCCACAAGAAACATCATCCAACTCTGAACATGCTGAGACAGCAGACAACATTGTAATCCTATCAGGTCGCGGACCATGTTGCAACATTTCACCCAATACAGCAAGAACTTCTCTTGCCAGCCCTTGGCGCACATAATTTGACATGATTGTGTTGTACAAGACCAAATTTTTATCAACACACTCGTCAAAAATCTTTCTTGCCTTATCTATAGCTCCACATTTCATGTACATGTCAACAAGTGCATTAACCATCAACGCATTAACCTTCAACTCTAACTCACCAATACAAGTACACACCTGCTCTCCCAACTGGAGATCCTGCAACTTTGCACAAGCTGAAATCACTCCTACCATCGTAACTGAATTGGGTCTAATACCCACCTCTACCATCTCAAAAAACAAAGAAACAGCCTCTTTATAACAGCCCCTCTTAGCATAGCCACCAATCAAGCTAGTCCATGACACAACATTTCTCTCAGACATTTTATCAAACACCCTTCTCATACAATCAATCTCTCCACACTCACCATAGAAATGTATCAAAGAATTCTCTACAAACATATTTCTCTCAAAACCCATTTTAACGATTGCTCCATGGACTTGAAACCCCTCACTAAGCGCAGCACTCTTCGTGCACGCGCTTAGCACGAAGGGAAATGTGAAATTATCAGGGACAGCACCCATGCACATCAGTTGACGAAAGACTGCAATGGCTTTATCACCAAGTCCACATGCAGAGTAACCTCTAATCAAATAACTGAACATATAATGAGTACCCATTATTCCATTATCTTCTATGAAGAGCTCTAATGCCTTTTGCGCGTATTCTAAACTTTCAAAAGTGCCCATTTCAGTGCAAGAGGATATTAGGTTGGTTAGAGATAAAGGGTGGTGATTGAGGCCCTTTTTAGTGATTTGAGAGTGTAGTTGTTTGAGTTCTGTCATTGTTTTGCATTTTTTGAAAGACCCAGTTGGATAAGAGCGGTGCTTGGTCAAAGTTTTGAGTTCATTTTGGTTGGCTAGAGCTACGGAGGCTGGGGTAGCTGGAATTAGAGTAGAGAGATGAAGTGTTGCCGCCATTTGGTCTGGACTCTCTGTTGCAGCTGAAGGGCTAACTAGATTAGCTGAAATTTTAAAATTGCTAGCGGTTACGAGCTGATTTGCCCTTTTTTATATTCCTTTTCGATATAGAAGTTTTATATTTTAAGTTTTGGTCGAGGCCTTTGTGCAAGTAAACAAGCAATCTTCTATAGCAAAAAAACCTAAAAATTTAATTCAATTAAAAAAATTTAACTGGAAAAAAAAATTAAACTAATTAGAATATTTTAAAAAAATCGAATAATTTAGTTTGATTTTAATTTTTTCAAACCGAACAAAACTAAGAATGATGACACCTAATAAAAAGGGTTTGTTTTTCACCTGATAAATTCTTCCAGGTTATGCCAACTAAAATTAGATTGACATTATCGTGATTAAAGATTTCCATGTTCTACAAGTTTCAATGATTCAGATTAACAAATTTCTGAGGAGACGAGAAGTTGAATTATCTATCAATGGCCACCATTTTTATGCCCACTTAGAGCCGTTGTTCAAATGCCAGTTGCATAAATCGATAATTGAATTGAAGGTTGCACCTAACTTACTGTTATTCCGATTTCACTTGGAAACTTTGACCAGAAAGAAAGATAAGGAGGAAATTTTATTTATTTAATTGAGATACATAGAGAAGACAGTGTTACATGTACCCACGAAGGTGTAACATTGGGTTCCAAGGCTTTTGGCGAACTAAGATGCTTTCAGATTCTCATTCCCGGTTTCTTAATCTTCACGGGATCGCATCTCAGTT